TATAATCGTTCTTACCAAAATCAAAGGTCATTTTCCTTATATAGTTTGCAAATGAATTTTCCCCTCATATCTAGTCATTTTAATTATGTATATTAATTGCAATGTTAATTCTTAGTCACCCTAAGTTTTAGCGAAAAAGCTAGGAGATAAGGAATTTTAATTAATTGTAATATACAGAGTTCAGGACAAAAGACAATGTCTGGAGAATCTTATCTTTTTCAGCACGACCAGAAAGAACACCTGGACCAGGAAAGTCAGGCCAGTGTTTTCTCTGAGGCTACATCATAGTCTAAAGGCTCAAATGTAAAGACATAAGGTTATGGACAAATTAAACAAGCATTAAAAATATCATAGAAGCAACAGTTTATAACCTTAAACCATTTAGCTGAGATAGTGTAAACCTTCCTCACCAGTATGTTTAGGAAAAAGATGTCTAAATTAAATTTGAATATGTGTTTATTGTATATTATCAATAATTTTTAAATGATCTTTATTTATCAAAGATTATTAAAGTCACATATTTGTGAAAAGCATTTGGGTATATTTACTTAATATATGAGTATTTACATATTTTTAAGCTAATTTGGTACTATAAGCAATATTTAAAGGCATACACACATCCATGAAGATATGAAAATGCATAAATGAAGGTTCTATAGCAGGCATCCTCAAACTATGGCCTGCGGGCCACACGCAGCCTGCTGAGGACATTTATCTGGCCCACTGGGTGTTTTTGCTGCCGCTGCCTGTCCTGCTTAGCAGCCGACTAGTCCCTGGCTCACAGTGCGCATGTGTGGAATGGGCACTGCACTCTCCAACGGCCCTCCAACGGTCTGAGGGACAGTGAACTGGCCCCTGTTTAAAAATTTAGAAGACCCATGCTCTATAGTCTTGATTTTATTTTTAATTTTTTTTATTTCAGGGTATTTTGAAGGTACAAACATTGTGGTTACATTTTATGTCTTTGCCTCTCCCTAGGGAGAGATAGAGACGTTTTTCCCCTCTACAATGATCACTTTGTCCTTTACTTGTGAGTTTACCCCCCATCCCCCAATCCCTGGAGAATATTACTACCATGTGAGTACCATAGTGTTAATTAGTCAGTACCAATTTGATGGCAAATACAAATGGAGCCTATCCTTCTGATCTTGTGTTACCTCACTTCAGATAATGGGCTCAAGTTCAATCAAGGAAAATGTAACAGGTAGGACTGCGGATTAGTATAACCTCTGTGGAAAAGAATTTGGAGATACCTCAAAGAGCTAAAAATAGAAATACCATTTGATCCAGCAAGAGCACTATTAGGCATCTACCCCAAAGAGCAAAATACATTCTATAATAAAGACATCTGCACTGGAATGTTTATGGCAGCAGAATCCTCTATTACAAGGATGTGGAAACAACCCAAGGGCCCATAAATTCATGACAGGATATAGTCTTGATTTTAAAACTCTTGTCATAAGACTAGTAAAACTCACAAGTTTTAAAAGACAGCTGGATTCAAATTATGTCCCTAAAAATGTAACAAGTCAAAGTCTACTTGTTTCACACGTGGTCTACCCCCTCACTGAGATTCAGGATACAGGGTAGCAGTCTGTATCTCAAAACAGAGGGAGAGGGAGAGAGAGAGACTGAGAGAAAGAATATACTGTCTCTTGAGAAGGAGTTTGGGCCATGCTAGAGGAAGACAAAGTTAATTTCTGATATCCTCAAAAGCCAAAAAGATCAGGTAACACAATGCAACAGAGAGCAGAGCTGTGTACCTGAGAGGAATCTGTCTGTGACTTTTGACTCTGCAAGGAAAGCAGCAGACCCTGAAAAAGAAGTGAGTGGTCCCTTTTTTCCAAGTTTATGAAGGGATTTGAGTCATAAGAAGTTTTTTCTAGGCTTGTTTTTCATGTGGTGCTGAAGATGGCAAAGTTGAAGGAGGACTAGGAATACACACACACACACACACACACACACATATAAATAGGGTAATATTTTTATTTCTTTTAACCACCAGTGTACTGCAGTTAAAAGGGTGTTAGTTTATTTTAGAGGCCGCATTTCCCATAATTTAGAGGTTCTATTAGTGTTGACTAAGAGCTGGTCAAACCTACTGTAAGACAGACCAAAAAGAGAAATAGAAGATGCAATCACAAAATTAATGTTATTGAGATCCCTCAGAATAAGGATAACTTATAGCTAACTGACAATAATCTTTAACTGCTTAAAACAAAACCCCAGACTAGCATCTTACTTGGAGATGGGCCCAAGCTGGGGCTGCTTTCTGTCTTTACAAAGCAGGGAAATTCACCTTTCTAACTGGAAGAATGAAAAACTACTTAGAGGAGTTTCCTGCCAAAATATCCCTTGGATATTAAATCAAAAATTTTGAGAGATGAAGGAACCTCAGGAGAGAGCCACTATTTGGCCTTGGTGAAATTCACTGTAGGTTTCAGTAAACATTTAGCCAGGACCCCAGCACCAGTGGAATTGCTGCAAGCCAGAAGGGTTACTGCTCTGCTTTGTCAACCCAAAATAAGTGACTAAGGAAAAAAATCTCAATTAGCAGAGAATTATTAAGCCAAAGCTGAAGACTCAACAAGGAAAACCACAAACCACAGACAGATCTGTGGCTATTATTCTGAAGGAAAATTTGGAATACAGAAAGAACAAAAGGCCTGGGATTAGTGAGAAAAAAGGGTTATATTTTTGTGAGATTCAAGAAAATATACATTTATGTAAGATAAGGGGAATGTTAGAAGAGAAAACATGCAATGAAGGAAAGATGAATTATGTAGGCATGAAGATCAATTATTTATTTCACAGGATAGGAGCAAGAATGTCTAATCCTGCCTTGTCTCTGTTCTGCGACTGTGGAGATAAACTTGTAATTCATTATTATTGTGGGAACAAAATTATTATTGTGGGAACAAAAAGAGTTTACTTTTAGGAGCTACACTTAGCCTGCAGACATAAAGTTACAATTTGCATGTCCTTGCTTATAGGAGGCCAGTAAGGAATTTCTCTGATGAATGATGTGTGAGGCCAATCTCCACAGGCACCTGAGGCCTTTACCTTTCCTTTTACATAGGGAGTTGGGAGGTACTCTTGAGATTTTCACTTTCTTTGACAGAAAAGAAGAATATTGAATAGAAAATCTATATTACTTTGGAAGCCATGAAAATCCTCATAAGCAGACTATTTGTGAAAATATAGATGTTAATGTCTTCCTGTGGTGCATAGGAAAATGTGAGAGGAAAGAGAGATATTGAGGAAGGAACTATTAGGCAAAACTGAACCAGGACTTCATGTTTTGGGAAATTCTCAACCTATTAGGATTATAAAAGATTATAAAATTAGAGGTGTAAATGTCAGGAAATGGGTATTTTTTTCTCTTGTAAAGAAAGCCAATTGTGTGGCTGGACAAGCTTTTGCTAATGTCTCTGAAGGATTAAAAGGTGAGAGTATTGAGTCACACAGAGGCTCATTGAAGAGATTCCCGTGAGGCAGGTTCACTGTGAGGCAGGTTCACAGGTTCACTGTTACTGGTGACAAAATCATCTGAGTTTTATAAGAGATCACACTATATACAAGTTACATAAGGTGGATTTCTTACTTACAAATAGGCAGAGCAGGACAACGGAGGCCCAGGATTCCTTGCCCGCTGGTCCCCTAAGGCTTAGAAAGCTGCCTGGGTCAAATGGAGTCTCAAGTGTGCATGCCCCATGTGCATTGCAGATGAAGGCCTGTGAAAATCAGCCCACCCTGGGTTTTATCTTCTGGGGAAACCTGACACACTAGGCTAAAGATGGAAAAACAACCTGGTTCTAGTGGGGACTGGAACAGAGCATGGGCTATTCAAGCCAGTTTCTTCCTATCTCAAGATGTTGCCTTCCCAGCACATTCTACAGTTATTCTTTGGAACTTGACGTGAGAAAGCAGAGAGGAGGAACAGGGTCAGTGTAAGGCCACCCAGTGACTTATCCTGCAATTAGGTGTATGACTCGTGGATCCCTTCACCCATAGTGGTAGAAAGCAAAAATAGAGATGAAATTTTCAGAAAAAAATTGTGTAGCAATCTCTTATCTAGTGAAGTGACATCCCATGATATACACAGGACAGCTGTAATGTACCTTATAAATTTATGCCAGCAAAACCACTGCCAATTTGCATTGAAAGTAGCAGGACGAGAAGATGACAGGAAAGAAGCCTGTTGGACTTCCAAAATTCTACAAGTAGGAAATAGATGATAAACTCCTCAGCTGCAAACACATGCTAGCCTTCCTGGAAAATGAAGGATAACTCTGAGGGCGAAGCTGTGAGCTCAGAGGGCAGAGCTTGAAGCCCAGAGGGCTGAACTGGAGACCAGAGAGTTATTCCTAGTCCTTAAAACTGAATTTTCTTTGCCCAGTTTATGTCAAAATATCTTGGGACTGGTGATTCATTTTTTCCTTCCATTTTATCTCCATTTAAACGATAACGTCTATCACAAGTATCGCATGCTTGTTGCACTATTGGTGTTGTAGAGCAGATCAATTTCTGACTTTTTGACTGAATAAAAAATTATTTGTATGTATTATTTTAAATAATGATCATGAATTTTTTCTCAAGCAGAAATAGCAGAGGATCTGAAACCAAACAGTCTCATACTGTATTTAAATACAACTCTGTCATTTTCTATTGTATGCAGCTTTGACAGGTTGTCTTAAACTAAATCAGCTTTTGTTTTCATAATTGTAAAATGAGAAAAACAGCTACACCTTTAAATGAAAGCTTTAAATGGAGCTTCCATATCTTTAAATAGAAAAAAAATCCAGAATCATTGTATGGTCTCAACCAGTGTGTAATATTGAATGAATGAAAGAGCACCGAATTAAGGTAAAAGTACTTAAAAAATCAAACATTCAAATACCTATGAAATCATTAGAATAAACAAATTTTGTCATTGTTACGCTAGTGTTATCATGTTGTGTGGCACATTTACCTTTTTTAACCCATTGCTATTTTCTTAGATTTTAAAGAGGAAGAAAAATCATACCAAGTTATCAGTTGGCTTATGCCAGAAGACTATCAAAAGGAATTTAATAAGTTTTTAAGTTTTTATGTGACAGAAGCATTCAATTACAGGTATTATCTTTTATTCTTTGAATGAAAGAGTTATTATTTTAATCATAGAAATAAATGGGTGGATGGCTGCATAATTGAAATGAGGGCAAGGGAATGGGATGGATGGAAGGATGGATGGATGGATGGATGGAAGGATGGATGGAAGGATGGATAGAAGGATGGATGGAAGGATGGACGGATGGATGATACATATATGATAGGTGAATGTATGTAAAGTAGGTGGGTGGATTTGTAACAGTCACTGGAAAACCTTTCTTACTCTGTACTGTCCATCCTACACTATGAGCATGAATGTATTTCTATACAGATTGAAAGATTGTTCCTTCTGGGACTTCCTTCCAACACTTCACCTACCAAGATGGTCTAAAATTTCCCCAACACAGGAACAGGGACATGCCTCTCAATTTGTCATTGTTGATAGTTTTCCAACTTAATTTCGTTCCTTCTACTCTCATGTACTTATAAATATAGGAAAGATTTATGAATGCTCCTTTTACAAAAGTTGAACGTGTGGCCACGTAAAGTTCTGTTATAAATCAATCACCCTGATACAAAATGAGACATGATACTGACTCTTTTTGCTTCATCTGCAATGCAAAGGAACATGTAACTTTTTAATATAAGACAAAAAACAGGAAATAAAGAAATACATGCCTATCTTTGTTAATTACAATTATCTTACTCTGTATCTTTCCTTGAAAATTCTAATCTGCTTGTGGTTAGAGGTGTTTAAATCTAATTTTTTCCCAAATCCTTCTCTCTCGTCAAGCTGGGAGACCGTATTCCCACCTGTGCAAGTCTGATCTAACCCACTCATTTGACACATAGTGTATATCTTCTTGAAGAGTTAGTTACATATTGTAAGTGTATGTCTTGCCCCTTTCCCCCTATTTTAATATTTTTAAGGGAAGTTTTAGGTAACAGTACATTCTTAAAATATTTTTAATTTATTAGCTTATTTTTGATATGATTAATGAACTGTATACTAAAGGCTTTTACTGCATTACTGAAATTATCCAAAATATCTGGCAAACATTTCCATTCCTCTGTTATGTGAATCTTTAAGTATAAACAATAGAGGATGATTTCAGACAATTATTTTCATTGTTTCACTTAAAGCTGATCTTAAAAGTTAGGCAGGGATCAGCATATACCTAATAGGTTCTCAGCCTCAGTGCAATCTGTAACTGAAGTGCAATGGTGCAGTGATGTACAGGTTACAGGTGTGCCAAGGTATTGGTTCTCTCAGTTCTTGAAGCAGCCACAGGCTCCTGATGTCTGTTCCTATGGGTGCTGAGGTCTAGCACCTGTGGGCTCAAGCATGGGCATCCTCATTGATTTCCTTAGCATGCTTAATAGTTTAATATTCTTTGCAGACAATGAAGGGAAACCATTGCAAGAAGGTTTCCTGAAATGGTAGCATAGGGAAAGTCTTAATTAAATGTCAGTACAGCTTTGGCATTTTCTTCTCTGACTACTCCAGCCTACATTGAAGTGGAAAGGCTAATAATGTTTTTCAAAACCAGGTTGTCCTTAGTTTTGTTTTTTTTTCCATTGCTTAACTCCTAGACATAGAAAGGTAAAATTTTCATTTTGGGTAAGATTTTTGGATCTAATATGATCAGTGTTTCTTGGGTGAGGCAATGTCTCATATGCAAACACATAATAATAAAAAATTAGCATATATCATCCATATTGGTAAAGTCTATCATCAAATTACCTACAAGTCTATGTTGGCAAACAAGAAAATCACTCATAAAAAGTCAGTATATAAGGCCGGGCGCTGTGGCTCACGCCTGTAATCCTAGCTCTTGGGAGGCTGAGGCGGGCGGATTGCTCAAGGTCAGGAGTTCAAAACCAGCCTGAGCAAGAGCGAGACCCCGTCTCTACTATAAATAGAAAGAAATTAATTGGCCAACTGATATATATATAAAAAATTAGCCGGGCATGGTGGCGCATGCCTGTAGTCCCAGCTACTCGGGAGGCTGAGGCAGAAGGATCGCTCAAGCCCAGGAGTTTGAGGTTGCTGTGAGCTAGGCTGATGCCACGGCACTCACTCTAGCCTGGGCAACAAAGCGAGACTCTGTCTCAAAAAAAAAAA